TATTCTCAGAGTTTACAAACTACCTTCTGAAAATTTCTCGTTGTTTCTTCAAATACGTTGCAACTACATCAAGTTTTTCTTCAGTAATGTCCTGTACCTTCTTTCTACTTGGTTAGTTATTGCTAAGGTGTTGATTAGCTAACTTCGAAAGTATATCTTCGCTGGGTTTTGTTATTTTGCGGGCAACAATTCCCTACTTTCCTTCTGTTTTTGTTATTGCATTTCAAGCTCTTCTGATCTGATATGCAGTAAATGCTACAATCGATTTTGAGGCTCTCATGTATGTTGGATGAACCTGCTTACTTTTTTGTTCTGTTTTTAATTTTTATGATTCAGTGGATTTGGTTAACTTGAATTCTCTCTCAACTGCACTTACACCAGTAAGAATTAACCATCAATGGTCCCACTAAGATATATGACTCGAAAATCTCAGGGCCGCCAAAATATATAATTTGTCTTGAAATTTCTGAAAAACTCAGTGAGGTATTGAATGACACGCGATACAATTCTGTACAATTTTCAACTTTTCTAATTTTGGTTGACAATGTTTATTGGTTAATGTTATAAGTTCGGGCCTTTATTGTCCAAACATCATGTTAGTAGATTTAGAATTAAATAAATAAATTAATTAAATTAAATCAATTAAATAAAATGAAAAAGAATGAAATACAACACTCAATGAAAGTTAATGGAAATAACCGGTCCGAAATATTTGGATTAGTTGATTACAAAAAGGATAATGTCAAAAAGAAATGGCTCTTTCAAGTAGACTCACAAACGACTTTGAAAATGAAATCCTGAAACGTTCATCTCTATATGAATGAGAAATCTGTAACCTGTGTGAGGTATCTTGCATTATAAGTGTCTGTCGGATATAATTCAATGTCCATCGTGATATTAGCCAGGGAAGTAGCTGTTTTCCGGCAGGCATTTAGCAGATCCTACTGTCTAGGAACGTTAGGAGCTATTACAATTTCGAAATATTCATATTTTATAATAAGTGAGATGTCAATCATAAAAAAAATAAAATAAAAGGAAATGTTCAAATTAAATGGTGAAAATGATCGAAAAAAAATAAGAGGAATATTTCGAATAAAGCTTCTTCACGACGTTTTGAATGTAAGTATCCAAAATCTGTTTGAAACCTGTTTTTTCGTTAACCAGCTGTTCCCCCCCTACAAACGCCTACCCTCCAAAAGCCGAAATTTGTGCGAGTTACGGATTAACGAGGTCTTGCATTTCAACGTTCGATTCCTGTCCCTGATAGTTCAAAAAACACATACAGGGTGTTTCAAATTCGATCTTCACCATTAGGATCTCGGAAACTATGAGAGATACGAAGATGGTTAAATTTCCCCAAAGACGACAACCACATTAAACTATGTCAAGTTATTGGATCAAAATCTCATAGAGTTTGGTTCATTTGAAAATCCGAGGAAAAAATACGGAGACAGAATGAACCAGGAAACTAAAGAAAATTTGATAAAAGAGGTATGTATGAGGTAAGTTAAACATTGTGTCCTTTTCAATAAAAATTGATTATTTGCAGATAAACATGAACCCAGGGAAATCTACATGTCAAATTTCCTCCGAAATGAATATTTGTCATACAAGTGCTTGGAGATATCTCAAAAAAGCGATTCAAAATGTTAAAAAATTCATATATCTCAAAAATTGCAACGAGGTGATCCTGAAAGGTGATTAGAATGTTGTAATTAGCTAATAAGAAAACCTGATTGTCCTGCTTTCCTGGAAAATTTAATTTGGACAGATAAACGCACTTTTACGAATTGTGGGATATTCAACCGAAATAATGAACACATTTGGAGCATAAACAACCCCAGGTAGTTCCGAGAAATTCGACCTCCAGTGCGACCTCCTGTGGGCAGGAATTCACAAAGATACAATTTTGGGTCCTCCTTCATTTGACGGAATTCTGAATGGAGGAACCTATCACCAGTTTTTTTTAATGTCGATTTTCGAAGACTATTTGGATGTTCTACCTTTGGCACATATTCAGGATACGTTACATGAAGTAAAATTCAGACAAGGAACTGAGGTGACGTCAGGAAAAGATCTTTACCAGAAAGGTTACTCCAAAAAGCTAAAAAGCTGGTGGAACCGACTTTGATGAGACGGCAACAAGAGCTGCGGAAGGAAAGGACGCCGTCATAATCCGTGCTATTCCTTCCTTACGTCAGAGGACAGTCGGAGAAAACAAAAAGACTGGTTATACAATAATAGAATTCGCTTCAGATCCGGGAACACCATCTTTAGTAGCCCCACGAAAATCAAGCCACCAAACGTGGATTGCGTTTCCAACAATTGCAATTACGGGAAATTATTTGAGTGCTGCAAATTCTATAGTGACCTATACCAAGTTGGTCCCATAAGTACCCGGCTTGACCTAGAGATGGCAGTAGTTCGAAAAATATAACGGTATTACAGCTACCGGACTGAGTCATGGCCGGTGGGAGAAATCGTATCGTATCTTCATGAGTTTGACTATAAAAAATATGTTTATGCAATTTACCTTCGAACTTCAGCTTACCTTCAGTTCGAATAATCTAACAGGCTGATAACAGATTTCTACACATCTACTGCACATCTCGAGGAAGGGGCTTCTCACCAGCCATGACTCTGTCCAGCATCTATGCAAAGTACACAATCTATAAAGTATATGTTTCTAGTTTAAAGATGCTGCTTTGGGCCTCAGCCCAACCAATATGAAATCTGAACTGGATTCTACTCTGGGCAAGTCTTCTTCTTCGGTTACAACAGTAAAATGCAATGCACCAGCTCACAAATCCATTATCGCAATGACCAAAAACCAACGAATCAAAGTTTGAATGGCTACTTCATGCATCCTATTCATCAGATTAGCCCCCTCAGATTATATTCTGTTCCCAAACTTGAAGAAATGGCTTAGGTCAGAAATTTTCGAACAATGAAGAAGTGATGTCGGCAGTTAGTGGCTATTTTGAGGAGCAAGACAGTTATTATTATTGTAACCGTACTTATTGAACGTCGCGTCGCTGGAAAAAAGGATATAGAGGTGCAAGGAGATTATACTGGGAATTTTTTTTTTCAAAATTTGTTGTGTTTTCTTTGTTGGCCGGTTATTTCTGGGACCACCCAATTAAGAGAGTATAAAAAAGTTAAAGTTCGTATTGGCGAGTACAAGAAACTAGCAAACTAGCAAATCTGGAAAAGCGGATCAAAATAACATTAAGTGGTCCAAAACTGGGATAATCCGCTGGCTTAGGAGGAGTTAAGAGTTGAAACTTAAGAGTTTAGAGTTAAGATCTGAGAGTTAGGAGTTCATAGTTAAAGAGTCAAAAGTTATAAATTAGGCTAGCGTGAAAGTATGCAACATATAGAAATATCTGATTGAACAGGAAAACAATCTACGTTGCACTGAATCAGAAACCGAGAAAAGAGAAAGAGAGAGGAGAAGGGATTTATATATTGCGCTGAAACCGGTCAAGATATACAGATGAAATTTGGTGGGTGTTTAGAGGTAGATATTGCGCATTCGTAGCGCCTTTAAGAATTTTATGTTCGTTATGGCGCGCATATTGGCAATGATCCACATGGAATCTTTGAAGACCATTTTCAGCATCAGTTTTCAGTAAATGTGTGTACTTGTTGATCATTCTATCAGTCCATATTTCCTCCTACAACGGATAATAGGCGACTCTTACCTTAATTTTCTACAAAAAGAGCTATAGCAGCTATAGCTGAGACAATACCCCTGGTTCATGCATGATGGTGTACCAACCCATTTAAACTTTGAAGCAAGTTATTACTTGAATACACTATACCTTGGATAGGTAGGAAAGGAACGGAATATTAGCCTGCTCAATCGCCGGATTTGAATCCTCCAGATTTTTGCATTTAGCCTGCTCAATCGCCGGATTTGTAACGGCCCACCGGTAAGAGCGGAAGAAACTTGGTATACAGATGGCTCAAAGACCCAAGAAGTAGTGGTAGCCGGTATATTTGGAGGCAGAGCAAAGACGAGAATCGGACTTAGACTTGGACCTAATGCAACTGTGTACCAGGCAGAAGTAGCGGCCATCGAACACTGTATAGGGAAAATAAACAGGCAGAAGGTCACAAATAAAACCATTGCTTTTTCTTCGACAGCCAGGCAGCAATTAAGGCGCTCAGCTCATCTCAAGTCTTCTCAAGACTGGTGGGAAGCTGTCTGAGCGCCCATCAGAAGCTACGTACCCAAAATAGCGTCGATTCGATAGGTTGGTGGAATAAGCTCTCAGGAATGAGGCAGGCAAAAGGTTCATAAAGAAGCCATCGCCAGAAGAAGAGGAGGAAACCGCACTGCATATATGCTCTGTGAATGCCAAGCGATAGCAAGGCTGATACACGCAAGATGCAGTGAGGAGAAACCGGAGACTTCCAGCTATATGAAGGGGAGAGTTTTAAGGCTATGGAGTCTCATCAAAGAGATCCAGCTAGACAATGAACTCTAACAACCAAAGAGCATCACAATTGTTCTGAAAAGGTCGCATTGGATAAGGCCAGGGACCAGCTCCCCGGCAATCTAATCTATATAGTTACATAGACTGACTTCCTGAAGTTTGTCACACTTATTCATTAATTCCCTGTATATGTATACCTGTATACCGAGTGACAACGAAATCATTGAAATATTTGAAAAATGTCCATAGTTAAATCATTGAATATCGTTGAAAATATATCATCGTACAGAATTATATCATTCAAATCGAAGTTCAACTTTTAAAATATATTGTTAATGACTATTCTTGAAATAGATATAATACATTCGATACATATGTAAGATTCTGAGGAATCCGATGATTTGGATTGCTTGATTGAAATGAAAGGAGAAACTGATACCTCTGGCGTAGAATAAACCCGAAACAACCTCTTTTCCCAAACACCAGAACTGCAATACTTTTCTCGACGAGCATGGAGATATCATCTACAGGAGATGGCATCTACAGGAGATGGAGTTTTCTTCATCTCCTGAAGACGCCATTGACTGTTGAAACACGCGTTGGGAAGAGTACTGCAGTTCTGAATTTTAGGAATTGGAGATCATTTTTTATTTTTCATTTCGAATATCATGAATTTTTATTGGTACTCTTGTGCTAAGAAAACTCTATTATCATACTCAAATATTTTGTGTTTTGACTATAAATAAATCAAACAGCCCAGAACATCTCTCTCAGTCATCTTTCCGAATAACCCTTAGCGTACTATAATACACAACCATAATCGCAAATAGGACAGTTACGTATTGACTCAGAAGTTAACTTCTTCGCCAAACGCCACTGAAAAATATCAACCACAACTTCCAAAACACGATCTTCATTCGACTAACAATCGCCCGAAATATAGGCTACAAATATTACGCAATAGAACTACCCGACATAGTCGTTATGCATTTTTTCTCGCACGTTTCTGTGTTTTCCGAATTTGAACGAACCGCTTTCGGGGTCCCCGGGCTATTCTGCTCGCACGTTTCCGTGTTGTTGTTTGTGGACGCCCTTCTGGAAACTTCCCTGGCTGCGGTCCTGACGTCGAAGACGCTGCATTCGCTCTCGAGATCACTGCCTTCTAGCTGGAGTACGTTTATCTGAAAAATCGAAAGAAGTAATGGAAGAGATACTTTGGTTCTTCCCCACTCTCCCCCAATCCGCACCTTCATAACGCAAACTCACTTATAGTAGGGGAGCCAACGATGCAAAATGGGGATTTACTCGAGCGTCATCGAGACATATTAGGTTGCAAAGCTTGGATGAAAAAAATCAATCGAGCGCGTCAGATTTTCTAAGGGGGTGTTAAGTGCACCAAAAAAAATCTCTCATTCAATAATCTGACGATTTAGATCTGNTCTATTATTAGTGGTGTCCAATAAGGCAGTTTGGTTCTTTCCTACTCTCCCCCACTCCGCCCCTTTATAACACTTTAAATAGTTGGTGTGCAATAAAATAAAAATTATGTGTCTCTTTATAACTAACCTGCCTGGCATTCAGAAATAGTTCGCTAGAGTCTGATCCACAACTGGAACTCTCACTGAGCTCGGTTGTGAATTTTCTTTGGGCTCTTGGACTAGGCGGAGGCCTTCGTGTGCAAACTTGGGCTTGAATGTGTTCACATACTCTTCTGAAACGTCTAATATTACCTGGAATGTGAAGTTCTTTATTTCTATTGGATTGGATTTATAATTATTGGTTTTGAAATAATTTTATATTGGAATTAATTCAACTGAAAAATATATGACTTGTGGTGAACCAAAGTTGTAAGCATTTGAAGAAGCGAATGTTTCGTGGTGTTGCAAAAATTGTGTGGAGAAATTCCAATGTGGAGTTCACTCACCTGATAATAGTGTGAAAGTTATAGCAAAAATATGTTCTTTGGCGTTATCCCTTGATTGTTTGATTATTGGTGAAATGTCCACTTGAAAACGTACGTGTCTTTGAAACATCGCTGGACCTGTAGTACCCCTTTTATATTCTACCCTAAAGGACATGGGACTTGACACTGAATGGCTCAATTCTGCTATCTGAAAATTAAATACAAAGCTCCTCTAACACATGTGTAATGCACTACGAACAACGTTTATGATTTAATTTTAATAATACTTTAACTGATAAACTTCTGGAATCTACAAGTATATACGATAAGGCTCGTCTGAAAGCAGCAATGATCAAGGAATCGGGTGCTTGGCTGAATGCTTCAACTGTTGCATCTCTTGGAACACTATTAGACGATGAATCTTTCAGAATAGCAGTAGGACTTAGGATGGGTTCATCTATTTGTGTTTCTCATACTTGTGTTTGCGGTAGTATAGTTGATGAGAAGGTACACATGGTTTGAGTTGCAGGAGAAGTGCAGGGCGTACATCTGGACATCACCAAGTGAACGACATATTGAAACGAGCTATGTTGTCAGCGGATGTTCCTGCAATTCTGAAACCCTTAGGTACCAGTCGAGATGATGATAAACGACCAGATGGTATGTCTGTCATACCATGGAAATACGGTAAACCTGTGGTATGGGACTTNCATTATTACGCCTTGGTCAAAGAAGAAACGGACTGGTTTAAGTTTGACGATAGTCGTGTCACGAAGTGTTCTGGCGATGCATTGAATTTATTGGAGCCTCTGGAGACACCCTACATTTTGTTTTATAAGAGAGAGGACATTGTTAGATCAAGATCTTCAGATGATGTGGTGCTGCAGGTTTTTCCGGGTTTTCCTGCAGCTGAAAAAGCAAATGCGCCACTGGAATCAATGAAGTCGCCCCGGAGCGCCAATTAATTTTTATTGTTGTTTTTATTTTATGTTTATCGTTGTTTTAATAAAACTTTAGCTATCTTACTTATACTTTTCTATTATGCTTGTGCTATAATTTAGGGTATGTTTTGGAGAACCTGGTAACTAAATATCATTTCGTACCGATAAAAAGGCATGTATTAAATCTGCCTTGACAGAAGCTAGCGGTTTGCCCTTCACCAATATAGTAAAAGTTTCATCTTTTTCCGTGGTCATCAAGCTACCAAACCAGGACTTCTTCGTGAGCTCCGGCGAAGACTCGGGAGTTAGATGGACTTCCTCAGAAGATGCTGAAAATTCCATATTGATAAAATATAACCAAATCGGCGTTTCCTTACGTTACCTTGAAGTTTCCTTCTGTGAAACCTTGGGGAACCTAGAAAACTATTTTTAATCGTAGTCAGCCTTGACCGCCAGTGATGACTGGTACTGCTGGAGTGGGGAGAGCCTGGGGGCGTCATTGGAGCTAGTATCGTGGGACCAGGGATTCGCACTACAATAAACATCAACATACGTGAATCCCATCTCTTAGAACTTCGAAAAATACAATGGAAACCGATCAAGTGACTAAACGCGATGCTTATTTGGAACCAACCTGTTACTAAGCTTGAGGTATCATTTTCAGGGGACTTCAAAGCTATTCCTGATGTAACGGGCGCCCCTCCACTACTGTTGGCCCTATGGTGAGTGGGAGTGGCAGGTGGAGGGGTAACAGTGACGTGAGTATTCGAAGTAACGTGAGTAGAGCTCCTGTGGGTATGATGTGGTGCTCTCTGGCCAACTGGCGAAGACATTCCAGCTAAGAGAAACAATTTATTTGAAGAGCTCGTGGTGCATTATAACCAAGACTTACAATGGGTGTTGGTAGGCGTTATGGCGCTGTTGAACATCACAGGACTGGAGGAACCTGACGATCTCGTGGGAGAGTGGATGTTGAGGCTGCTGTGCGTGCTTCCCGTCGACGGGCTCCTTCTGGGGTGATGCCTTCTAGGACATTCATGTAGTGAACTTTACGAAAAGGAGAATAAACATATATTCATTTTATTGGCCTCACAAAAATTATCTAGCGGGTTAAACCTGAAGCAGTTTCAACAAAGCATTCTGTGTCCTTCTTGTTAACGCTTGTACAAGAGGGGGGTTAGGATTGTGCTGCCAGAAAAGAAGTGAAATGGGAAAAATTGATACGGTTGAAAACGTGGAAGGATGACTGTTTTCCTTCGAACCGATACCTTGTTCGAATATACTATACTAAGTGACAACGAAAGGTAAACACCCATTTATATTGAGAATACTTGGTGGAAAAAGGTCTCAATTACTTTAACGAACCCAACATAAATTCGACAAATGTAGTAGTTTTGGAAATTGATACAGATATGGCGTTGATGGGGACATGTTACGGCAATAAACATATTGCCGCAGAAATTTCATCAAAATCTACGTAGCAATCCGGAATTGAAACTAGTTGAATCCATGAAAGAGAAATCGGCAGCATACGAGCTGATGAAGGTAAAATGGCCAGAGCCATGAACAAAGAAGAATACGTAGAGAAGACTTTAGATTTTCTAAATGCTGGCATGTACGATAGTCTCAGAAACGACCTCACCCATTTATATCAGAAAGTCCCCTAGCTCTGTGTTCTAGGCTTTCGTGGGTCCATGCCTGATAATATCATAGAATAGTACGTAAAGATCTATTGGTTCCTGAAATTTCTCTAACTGAAAAACCTGCCTCACGTAAGCCAACAATTGCACAATCTGCACTGACAGCAGACGAGCTCTATTAGCCTTGAACAGACAACGTGTTACCTCAGGGCTAGTACTAAACTGCCACCACGATTTAGTCAAAGCCTCGGTAGATAATAACATTTTCCTGAGGTGGGTTGACGGGCACGACAGGAGTAAAGGTAATCGCATTACCGATTATTTAGCCAAGGAAGCGGCTGGACTAAAAATTTAGTTCCTACTGGCACAATCCATAAAGAGATGGGATGGAATCAAAGGATGCAGTCTTGTCAGGATCACCCCAAGCGACCCTGGGAACCTGGCGCCGAAGAAATATATGGCGATGACCAGGATAAATCTACGCCTAACAGTAGGATTTCTGACTGGCCACTGTCAACTAAGGAAACACCTCCATAATATGGGACTAGTGGACACACCTCTATGCAGGATCTGTGAACAGGAAGATGAGACTATCAGGCATGTCCTATGCGAGTGCCCGGAGTTATCGTCCATAAGAGAGTGTGCGTTCGGCGAGTCTTGGCCTATACCTGCCGATATGAAGGAGATGTCTAAAAGTGACCTGTCCACCTTCCTGGGAAGGACAGGATGGACGATGTCCTAGGAAGACAACTCTTCGGAAGGATGTACAATGGGTCACATGTGTCTTGAGTGCTGTGGGCTTACACTCACTCTTCCTACTCTACAGATACAGAAGCCAACAATTCGTCCTCTCTCAAAGTCACTAAGTTGAAGAATACGACGAAGTTTGTTGTGTGTGTTAACAATACGAAACACTTTACAACAAACTCTTCAACGGTTAAAGTACAAATAAGAATAAAAATTGAAGAAATGGTAAATGCTCACACAAAAAAACAGTTGAAAAACTGATCAGAATAGCTTCCGGTACAGCTGAAATTTTACTGGCTTTTTACTGGCCTCAACATAAATACACATGCAAAATATTATTGAAATATTTTCAATATAAATGGGTGTTTACCTTTCTTTGTCACTTAGTATATTCATATCTTAAAACGAGACTCTAAATGATAATTATTTTTACTGATTATCTTTTTCAGCCACCTTTATGAAGTAGAAAGCTGTTTCGTTACTATGTAACGAGGTCAAATTTACGAAAGCGTAAAAGGGCCATACAAAAATATTTTTTTCGATTTGTATAATTCTGACTTTCATTTCAGAATTCTGAGCTGCAAGTCAGAATTCTGACTTGAATCTCAGAATTCTGACTTGTATCAAAATATTTTCAATGAATCTAGAATCTGACAAGAAGTTAACATATATTAATTTCAAATGTAGGTTTAACGTGGGTGCTTTGCTTCAGTCACTCAGTCGACCACTTTGTGAATCTGTGGTTCAAGCCTCAGGCCGGACGATCGATTGTCACTTATTATCGTCCAACCGTTGTTAGGAATCACATGTTAAAAGATAAGACCTCGTTAGTCCTTAGCTCGCACAAGTTTCGACTTTTGAGAATTGTCGTTTGTAGGGGAGCAACCGGTGGGTGACGAAAAAACAGATTTCAAATAGATAAATGAGCATCTTCCCCATCGAAAATTCTAAAAAACGTGTTCGACTTTCCCCTACATTATCTGCGTGAAAAAGATGTTAAACCGTACTTCCACGCCTTCATAGATAAAAGGTTATTAATGAATTTCTCACTTGAAATGCGTCCTCCTAGGTGTGAGAGGTGATCCTTCACTGATTTGCCCGAACTGCAAAGTATTTTGACCGTTTATCCTACAGGTATCTATTCTTTTCTTAGGCGGGTCTTGGCCTTCTGGATTTCTCATCCGCAGCATCGAATCTGTTTCATCTTCGCAAGCTGGTCTTCTCCTCTTCCTCTCAAGCAATAAGAAATAGATGACCTTCTCGGTATTGTGACTGGAACAAAGTTGTCGTTATCGAAGTAAATATTGAATAAAAAATGAATGAAATTCTCGTTTTCCACGAATTCGAGAAAAGATAGTATTTCCAGTGAATATCAACTACGAAATATGGAGTTTTGTGACCATGCACAGAAATGTACCCCTTTGTAAATTTTGAATGTTCATAATTAAGATGGTTTGATGTGGTGAATAGATCTCTTAGAGATGTTTTTATTGTTTATTCAGTACTTTACCTAGGACTAAGTAGATGCTGTATCAACTTCTCCTTCTCTTTGAAACAACCTAAGCTACAAATAGCTTGAAGAACGTCTGGATCCACTGCTTCAACGGACGGCAACACGTGGGTCTGGACGACCTCCATCATGGGTAACTCGAGTTCCAGTTCTCCTTTGCCCCCCGCTGTCACCCATGGATGTTTGTTGATGTCTGCCAACTAAAAAGGGGCGGTTTAAACGTGGGAAAAATGGAAAATATTATATGTCACTGGTGTGTCGTTTGGTTTCATGAATGCGCCTGATATTTTTCAAAGGTTCATGGACCAAAATTTTCAGAGGTTATTTTGCTAATGACAGTTGCCTTGTGAAAATCAAAAAATGTATCACAATGGATGTATTCTCAAGTCACTCACTATTAACTGATGTTTAATGAAAACAGCATTTTTTTGAAAGAGGCTCTTATATGGTACCTTCTAAAAACAACTGGAATGAATGTGAAGTCTCACTGACATGAAAACAACAGCAGAAATCAAAAGGGTTATCGCCAAAATAATAAATCTGATTTAATTTCGTAGCAGTTCAATTGATTGAGTATTCATCAGGAACTGCGGTGTTTCTATATTTCCAAAAAAGTGGCGTGTTTCGTCTAATTGAATTACTGGTCACTCCAGTTTAAGATCAATAACTGTATATCTCTAAATAGAACATCATTAAAAAAATGATTGAAAATACTGATAACGACATATCACGTTATCCAGTAATTATACTCACTCAATTACTTTCACTAACTATTTCCATCTGAGGCTGTTTGTCAATACAAACATCCGAAAAGTAATGAGAAAGCGTATCTAGTATCTAAATTATTATGTAAATTATATTATATGAATTAATGGAAATCCTTATATTTTATATTTTTACGTCATCTGGATTGGAACTGAAATTATACTCATGTACAGGAGAATCCGGATATAACGACCTTCAACGGACCGGATATAATATTATGTCGTACTGACCAAAGGGTATGACTATTTTGCAGGTCTGCAGGTAAGCAAATTGACCTCGTAGGAGGACAGAAATTCTTGTAGGTCGGGTCTGCCAGACATGAATTTCGAATATCAAAGTTTTACATACAGAAAAAAATATTTCCAAACGCCTTTTTCTTGAAATGACTGAAATTAATAAGTCTTCTGGCTGTATGAATAAGAAAACTGACATTGATAATCTCAGCAGTATATACAGTAACTTACTGGAACTACATCAAAAACATAATAATAATGAAAATTGTATCAATCAATAACACTTTCTTTAGAGTCAAAAATTATGAAATCATCATACCCATTGAAAAATGACATTTATGTGAAGGTATGACATTTGTCAAACCCACAAAAAATCCTATACATGTATAACTTTTCCGTCAATTCATATGTTCAATTTATTGTTTTTCGCTCATTTTTACTGTAAGTAATATGATTATTGAATAACGAAATTAGTTAGCTCCCTAACTATATTAATAAGGGGAGCTGTTGGAAGGTAGGTTGCACTATATCGTTTACTTGAACTATAGGTAGATGATTTTATTGACAGTAAAAAGGTATTACACAAACATTTTTGAAGGGTAGCTGACACCACCTAAGAGGTTGAAGTGAGAGGTGTTATTATCATGTCAAATAGTAATGTAGGATTCGTGATAATGAAAATTACTCTCCATTTTTTAACCAAACTGTTGGAATTATTGGAAAAATTGGAATTACTTCAGCACCCAGCACACATGAGATGTACTTTCGACTTACGGATAATCTTTTTTCCGGATTCACTTCGATCATACCCCTGAGCAAGCTCTGGCAGTTTGGAGGAACAAAATGGGGAATATGAAAAACTCCTCTTTTCACCTTCTCGAGCAATTGCCTCAGATTGTCGTCATCAAACGGCAAGGCACCCACTAGAAGAGCGTACAAAATTACACCACAGGACCACACGTCTGCTCTCCTACCATCATATTTTTCACCCTAAAAGTAAAATCAAAACGTGATGATTTGGTTCAAGGGTGTTTTGGAATTTTCAGTTATTCTCACCCTTATGACTTCTGGACAAGCGTAGTGCGGGGACCCACAGCTGGTTTCTAACATAGATCCCATAGGCTGCAGAGAAGCCATGCCAAAATCAGCTATTTTGATGTTGTTTTTCTCGTCCAGGAGAAGGTTCTCAGGTTTTAAATCCCTATGACTGAAAAAAAATGGTAATTAATTCATTGATAAAACACAGTAACACAGTTTCATAAATACCATATAGAATGGCTATGGCAAAAATCCAAGGCGGAAATAATTTGTCTAAAGAATCGCCTAGCTTCTTTTGGTGTCAACCTTCCCTTTTTGACTAGGTAGTCAAAAAGTTCGCCACCAGATACATGTTCTAGAACTAAATAACTGTAACACAAAAGGACGATTAGTAGAGTCAGTTTTCTGGAGTAAATTTATCAGGCATTTATAAAAATTTGAAGAAACACCTGATTAACTTCGTATTAATAGCACATACAGTGTATAAAAGCCAAATGGAATACATTCATTATAGCAGGGGAGCCCACGATGCAAAATGGGGATTTACTCGAGCGTCTCTGAGACATGTTGCTAAGCTTAGATGATAAGAAGCGCGTCAGATATTGATAGCATCAATGTCCTACGTATTTTTAATATGACTTTCTGAATTGGCACAAGGACACTGGTCTTGAGCTCCTTCGGGAATCTGCCAGTGCTCAAAGATGTATTTATAAAATGCAACAATGCATGTTCTACAACACCAAACGTTTTTTTAATAAGTTTACAGTTGAGTATATCACTGCTGTATTTATATGAATAAACGACTATTGCAAATCTACAGTTTTTACCGATAAAAAAATTTGATTTATGACCAATATTGCTTAGATGCCTACAATTACCTTCTTCTCCCCTACAGGGTCTTTCATTGAGCATTCCTTCAAATTTGAATGAAACGAAGTGTGTGTGATATATACATTTTTTAATCCATTTGAAAGACCTGTTAATGCCGTTATGTGTGAAATATAACATCATTCAAATGTCCGCCACGGCTTCCCTGGTATGGCACGTGATGCCGTCTATTAGAAACAATATGTTGTTGGTTTCCAGATCACCCACTTCAGGCCAAAAGGTAATATCGACCTATAGTGGTCGCCGTTGACAGTGGTGATCTGGCCAACGTCGTTCTCAAAGAAATATGGACCGATAACGCCGCAAGCACAAAATCCACACCAAACAGTAATTTTTTCGGGATTCATTGGACGCTCTTGGATCTATAGATTGGTATCTTCCCAAATCCGACAACTTTGTTTGTTCACGTACTCATTTATCCAGAAATGGTCCAGAAATTGTCCCCAATTTTCGATGAAAATGAAAAAATTGACCGTGGTTAACACTTGACTTCAAATCTAAATGTATTTTTTAACGATGAACAACTTTTCTAAATAACATTTCCCGAGATTTTTCAAAATAAGAGTACTTTACTCTTGTCTCAAAATCAAATATTTGAAGGCCCCTCGTATATTACGTGTGTTTTAGTGTATTTTGTTGATGCCTGTTCAGTTTTAGGAGATGCACAAACCTTCATCAAGAATAACTTTTTTGTCGAAAAACCCTTAATAAAGAAGTTTCCCATACGGTGAATACTTTGGGGATGACACTGTTTAACCAAAATGTTCCACAAAAATTCATCAAAAGTTGAATAACAGGAAACATGTTCCGTATACTAGCTTGGAAGTATTTCGTTCAATGTGAAGATGGTAAACATTTCTGTGTCAAATAAAATATCCTTCCAGTAAAAAACAACTGAATCAATTCAACAGGAATCTACTCGTTATATCAAACGGGTATCATACTTATTACCAATATCTCATTGATATGGGTGCCAAAAATTGAACAACTATCAGTGTAAGTGATGTTGCAGAAATTTTTGGTTGACTGAGTTGAAACCGTTATTTTTTTTATTGGGAATTTGGGGGCTTTTTTTCTCTCAAGCCTTGATGAAGTCCATTCCATATATCGAGAAATTGTTATTCTAGGATACTTACAGGTATTTTTTGTTTTCATAGACATCAGTCAGACCCAGCACGTGAGGATGGTCTATCAGCTTCATGATGGCAATTTCTCTCTCCACCTAGAAGAACGAGATGAAATAATTCAAAATTCGGCAGATAATCTTAGATTATCTCACCTTCATCAAGACGCTGTCGCTCAGCTTTTCCCTATTAATAATTTTGATAGCTACCTTCTTTCCTGTTACACAGTGAATGCCAAGCTTGACTAGACCTGTAACAGAAGAGTCAACTCATCATCCTCACCAATATATTTCACGAGTTAGGGAGTTTTGCAAATAAGTGGTAGACTTATATTGATCAATTTTTTGTTGGCAGCAACTTATGAAACATTTATTCTGTACATATTCAGCTACTTGTTAATTGGTACTTGGTTTTTGAGTACGAAATACTTTGAGCTGTTAGCTGTTGATTGGTATTCGAGTAGTTAAAAACAATTCAGCAGTATTTACAAAAAAAAAAACTGAAAATGTACCAAACAAAAACCAAAACTATCACCACCACACCAACAGCTACAACCATCACCACATCTGAAACAATAGTCACTATTATTTAATTTGTGATGCACAGTTTGGAAACTTTGGTGTTCGTTATTTTCAACACCTCGACAAAAGAGGAAAGAGGAAGATCAAAACTCAAATCAATTCAAAACAAAAATCAAAAAGTTTTGATCTTCCTCTTGAAGGTGATCATCTTCGAGAGGAAGATCAAAACTCAAATCAATTCAAAACAAAAATCAAAAACTTTTGATCTTCCTCTTGAAGATGATCACTTGGAGATCGAAACACGTGTCGAAGTGTTAAAATAACGATTTGGTGTTGGGGAAAAAACTCTAGTTATATTCATTACTACACCAAAGGTTCCATCAGTGCATCACAAGTAGGACATGGCAGTGTCAGTTTCTGAAAAACTTTTTGCTTCTTAATGAATATAAAGAAAGCGGAGAACTTCGTAGGAAAGGAACGGTTTTGAATGCTAATTTTGGTCCAGTTATTGCCCACATACACACACATGCAATTCAGAGGGAACGAAGCCATCAAATTGAGAATTCACGGGTTCACTGACACTGCTCTTCCGCGTTACAAAATCCTCACAAAACAGGAAAGGGCGAGTTTTGGGGCATATCACGAGAAACATCCCCTAAAGGCGTCTCTTCTACGCATTCGAGAATCATATTCAAATTTACCATCACCCCTGTTTATTCATAATAATGTTGCCCTAATAGTGCCCGAAGCTCTACACGGGGAAAATATGCAGGAACTTCCTCGGGCTCCCCTGCTGAATTCCTGCAGCCTTTGATACTCCTTCTTTCTCTTCTATTTGATGTAATTAGGAAAATGACGTAAAGTGGTCTCATTATATCGTAGTTAGGTGAGCTCGCCTGAGTTTGAAAACCGATTTAATGAACTCTCAAGCTGTATACAATAACACTTTTCGATACTTCAGGTACTGCGTTGTGAAAATTTCACTCGTGGAAATTGGACCGAGTGAGTTTTCCATGATTGCAGGAAAACTGGTGTTTTTCCGTATCATGGAAGATGTCATTGAATATTGAACAAAAACCATCATTTTTTTAACGTTTGTTTGAAGGTGATTGACAATGTTTCATGATGATTTACATTAGTTCGGACTTCCATTGTCTGATATTATATAAAATGATTTGAAATCCCTGAAAGAAGGGACAATACACGAAGATCGTACGGGACCCTACTGCATCAATTGAAAGGAAGTTGTACCAGATTTTGAAAAAACACCAATTCTATTTTTCGGACAAGGAGAGATCATCGCTAACACCGCACCATAGTAAGCCTCCTCACTTGTATGGACTACCCAAAATCCACAAGAAGGACGTTCCGCTCAGACCGATCATTAGCTCCAGAGATTCGGCTATACAAAACTTGTCTAGATTTTTACTCCCCATAATTCAACCATTACAAGGAAAAATAACGTCCTTTGTGAAGAATTCAAGGCATTTTGTCGAACTACTAGGGACAATTGAAGTCACACATGAAGATCAACTAATCAGTTTCGACGTGGAAAGCCTTTATACCAACGTGCCGGTCGAAGAAGCACTCCAAAGCATATAGAGGAAGCTATCCGACTACGGGAACCTGAAAGATAGAACGAATTTACCTATTCATATTCATATTCATATTTATTCATCACCAAAGGTTATACAAACTGTGTTGACTTGAAAAATGCATAACATTTATCGGACTAGTCAGAGAAAAAAAATATACACAATATATGTTCACATAATGAGAGACATAATCGTATAAATCTAAAGAGAGATAGACCTACATAGATCATACAAAACTAAAATAAGAGAGATAGACCTACGTAGACTATATAAAGTTAAAAGTCTAAAAGTCTAAAAACTCATCAATACTATAGAATGAGTCATCAATTAAAAATAGATGTAAATTTTTCTTGAAAATATTAATGTTGTTATTATTGTCAATAAAGCTCTTTACTTTGTTAAAACATTTGATACCCATATAATTCGGTGAATTTTGGCATACTCCAAGTCTAGAATAAGGCTGGTAAAAATTTTCTCTATTTCTAGTCAAATACGAGTGAACATCACGATTTTTTTTAACTCTATTTCATTTTCCTTTACAAACATTATTAACTGAGATATATAAAGACAAGGCAGCGTCATTATTT